AGGAATACATAGGAATACCTTTCTCTTCAAGGGAGTGTATATATATATATACAGTATATACTATACCTCCTCCGTCCTCATTTCTAAGCCCTTTCCCAACACTCGAGAAGCACTACGAATCTTGGCCAAAAGCTCCCAGCAGCTTCCCAAAATAACCTTCCAAACATCGTCGCCGTCGAGACTTAACAAGATCTGAATGATCATGGGGAACACCTGGGGGGAAAGCAGCTTCAACAGAACGTCGACATGCTATATTTGGGACATACAACCGCATGCAACTCTGAAGTCAAGAGGCTTATGGCAAAATGCTCCGCAGTGGAGTGAGTTTCAGCCCTCATGTGCTTTGGGTTTCTGCCCTTCAAACGACATTTCACGACACAAGTAACACTCAGCACAAGCACTGTACTGCTCAGGAAGTAAAAATTACTGTAGAGTTCTTTTTCAGAGTATATAGATGGCACAAGCCACCCCAAGTTCGGTGGTTTGTACGGACCCAAATCTGTCTAAGACCTCTTGGGGTGCCAGTGCCATCGAACCTCCGAAGCTATTGCATGTTTTTTGCCCAACCTCCCACATGCTCTCGCTCCCACACTTCGTGAGAAAACCAACTCGACAAATGCCTCACTTCATCAGTAATTTCATCAGGACCTCCACTCCAACGGAGACGTGGCAACACCAAAACATCGGCATCTATGGCGCCATCATCTGTTCTCCACCCATGTCGCCAGCTTCTGTTCTATGCGGAAGAGCCCCTTCAGAGCCCCTTCGGCCTCACCAGGCCCTTCCTGCAGCTCGAGGCTCTGACGATTTCACCTTGGGCGCCACCTTCCCCCGGCCCGCGGGAAACTTCAGCGGCGCCGCCGAGACAGGCTCGCAGAAGAAGCCTCCAGAGACGCTTCTTCGCGCCCAGTGCATTTTCCTTTGTGGTGGGTCTTCTCATCCTCGAGGAGGGGAGGGAGAAAGCCCCTCCAACTGATGGAGAAACAACTGATTTGTGTGTTTCCTTATGTTCCCCTCTCTTGAATTGCACAGGTTGCAAATGGTTGCAACAATTTCATGGCGTTTTTTCGTGGCCACCAACCTTCGACCGCACCGTGGCACCGTCGGCGGACAACGGGCTGGACGGTCTGTTCCTGCGGACGGTCCGCTGTGCAGAAATGCATCGGTTCATTGGTTCGTATCCCAAACACGACACATGGGACTGCCATGCCGAGAAACGGCCAGGGGTGGTTTGGTTGGTCAATTGATCGGCATGTATGGCGGTCCCATGGAGTGTCTGGGTATCTATTCAGCCTAATCAAGGTCCGAACAGTGTCATTTGTGTGTTCCGGGCCCATTGGAGCCGACGGTCAAATTTGACACACCAAACACTGTGAGACCAGTGAAGTTCTTCATGAACACCTCAGCTCCTACCCCAGGTCTTCTTAGAAACAGTTGCCCATTTCTTCATCTCTCTTCTCAGACCTCAGACTCACTTCCTCTCCCATTTTCACCTCATTTCACCCTTCTTGGGCGTCCCCCACGTGCAAACGTGCCCGTGTCAAGCTCCAGCTGGCCGGTCGCCGGGTGAAAGGTGTACTTTCCCATCGCCTCGTGCAGCTCCCAAACGCCTGACGTCCGCCACGCGGACGTCCGCGGCCACGCTTTTGTGTGGCTTTGGGGTTGGGCCTGGTAGGGCCCCCTACCAAGGGCCCAAGGGCTTGAAGAGAGAACATAGGGAGCATCATCGTGTCCGTACCGTACAGCATCATGCTTCAATGAATGCCCCCCCTTTGACGTATCGTCAAGCTGACGCTCAGCCGTTTTTTTCCCAGGTGCTGTCAACACCCACTAGGGCCTGTGGACTTCTGCAACGCAAAAGGGAAGGCGCTCCTTGGACCAGTTTGGGAGTCGTTGCATTCAGATTGTGACAATGAGACTCGGCCAGGGTTCCGGCACCACATGGAGCCGTTGTTTTCACTGTAGTCGCTGTGGCCGTCGCATGGGATCACAAGTTCACAAGTTCACAACTCCCAGCCACCACACGGTTGTCTCAATACTGCACACCAAGAGTTCGAGTTCCACTTAGGGCCGTCCGGTCCAAAATGGCATGACCAGGGAATGAGTCAGTCAATCGACCGGATAACTCTCTCACAAACTCGAGTTTAGTCTGGCTTCCCGTGAGACACTTTAGTTTGCTACTTAGAATGTGAAGCAATTTTGGCATGCAACGAACTGACCAAACCTCAGAGGAACAAAAACACACACAACAAAACGAACAACAAGCACACAAAACATCCCTGCAGCTCAGTGTCATGGTTGAGTCCTATGCACCCAATTTGCTTTGCTTGGCTGCGCGTGGGCTGCGGCGGGTCGGGCGGTCGGCCATGCGTGTGGCCGAATCCTTCGGTATGTTCCATGTCCCCTGAGGCCGAGCGTTCTGGAGAACGCGTTCCGGCTCCGCGGTCGTACGACCGGAGCCGCGGCGGAGAAAGCGAGCCGACCCGAAGAAGTGAACGGACACACGCTTCCGATCGCCGACGCGCGAAACCAACTCATGTCCATCGAGCCGGGAACTTCACGGGAATTCGTGCCCCTTCAACCACCGCGGCAGGCTCAATCCTTCCGCGTTGCCGCCCCCCAACCACTGCTGCAAGGTTGGCTGTCCAAAAAGCTGCCAGGTGGCTGAAGTGCTGCTCGTCGGCGCCTGGATGCGCTTGGTCTCCCACTGTCTCGGAGTTCGCCGGCTCACAGGACCCCAACAAACCGCACCTCGTCCAGTTCATGTATCCCTCAACTCGACCAAACGATCTCCAACGACCACTTGACGTCCGTTTTAAGGTCTACAGGAGTCTACAGAGTCTACAGAGTCTACAGTTTTCCCACTTCCCCGGTCCTTCGTTCTTCGAATCGACCAAGTACCTTTATTTCCGATGAGTCGAAGCTAACAACAACGAGCAGGCCGAGCGAACAAGTCACTCCCAAGTGACTCCCATTGTTCCACTTAATCAGGATCCGTGGAACAACTGGAGCAACAACAAATGAATGTTTTTTTGGAAGTGGCAACAAGTTGTCCCATTGGACGACCGTGTTCCCTCTACCAAACCGTTTTTCCAGATCCATGATGATTCCAGGGGGTGAGTGTAATAGAAAAAGGATAACACAAAGGAACCTACTAGCAGTGGCCTCCAACCTAATAGCGTTTTCCACTTCGATGATGCCAGGGAGTGAGCGTAACTCTTTCGGAAAACGATGCCTGGGACGTGCTGGAGCGGCTGATCGTTGTGCTGTCATTGCTCTGGTTGCTTTGGTTCCTTGGTCCGAACGGGCAAGGCGCTCGAAAAAGACGGCGCTCGTATGACGGTCAGGGCCTAAGCCTCAGAATACATCAGAATACCATTCAAACACGCAAACAAGTTTAAAGTAAAAAACAAAGCACACATACCATACTGGACTACCCTGCACTACTTAGGGATCTCCCCCAAACAGGACACCCATTGGATGGTCCAGGCCGGTATATTTGTTTTTCCTGTATTTACATGAAGAATCTTGAATGCCCTCAACTCTTGCACGTGGCTTCAATGAAAGTGGAGGATCCAAAAGTACTCCCTTCACAAGGCGATTCCAGAAGTGCACGTGCCATCACACGACCGTGCCATCTGCAGGCTTCTTGAGACGACTTCTTCCTTCCTCTCTCCCAAACCAACTCCAAGCTTCTCCATTCTGTCTACCAGTGCCGCTGCGCCGTGCTACCGCTCACTCCCATCGTGCGGGTGCTGCCGCGGGAAGGGGGAACCCGGTTCCGCAGCACCCCGGCGACTGGAAGGACTGGCACTCGAGCTATTTTCCCCGTCAGGTCTCTTTCAATCGACCGTGGCAGCGCTGAACTGGAACTACGTCCTTGAGTCCTTTGCTTCCAACAAAAAGGGTCAAGAAGGATCCTTACAAAGGATTACGTGAAGTGGAATGATGTGGAAAAGCGTGAGGAGAATCTCCGATGCAGGCTCGTTTAGAACTAACTGTGCAAAGCTCTCTTCCAACATCTTCATGTGATCAGAGCCACAACAGCTGGGTTCGAATCCCGACTGGTCATCTGGACAACATATAGCAAACAGGTCTGGACAGGAATAAGACGACATCGATCGAACATCACATCTGAACGTGCATGAAGCATAAGCAAAGCAAATCGTATCTCATCATACGGGAGTCAAAGGTTTGAACACAGCGTCTCAAAGGTTTATATGATGCGCACGACGGCAAATTGCTTGCATGTCAAACTGGATGCAGTGTTCAGTAGGAACTTCTGTTAGTGTTCACAGGCCTGGAGAAAGCCGTCCCAGACCGTCTCACACCGTCCCCATCAGATGACAGGATCCCGAAACCCGGTGCCCGGAACCCCGCTGAATGCGCACTTCTTGCGCCTTGCGCGCGCTTTTGCGCGCGCCACCTGCGTCCCCCGGGGTTGCCCCGCTTAACTCAGAATGCAGCACGCACGATCACCCTTCGCCGATCGAGCTGAGACTTTGGCCTGCCCAGACGGCGCGGATTCGATGCGGCAACCCCAGGTCTCGTGGCTGATGGACCAGGGGACCAGGTCATTCTTCAAGTCAAGGATAGTCCAGGTGTCACTGGTGTGACATGGTGTGACCCACGGAATTCAAATCGAGTGGGATGCAAATGAGTGCCGGGTCCTTGGTGGAGGTGGAAACAATGCTCGCCTTTCTCTGGGCAGGTGCCACGTGCGAAACACCATCGGCATGTCTTGGCGAACGAGGCACCTCTGCAACTGCAACAGCCCTATTGGCTTTGAGAGCTTCCTCGATCTGCCATAGTACCTGATGGACTCAGGTGAGGTTTCACCACCGAAGTGGGCAACGTGACACGCGCCGCTATCTGACATTCGTTTAAAAATCATGTTTAGTCTCATGGAGATTGGATCATATTGGATCCTCCGTGTTTTCTCTCTCACCACTTGCTTCTCTCACCACTTGGTCAGGTTTTCATCGCGTGATCTAAGCTCTGAGTGGTCCATTTGGGCCAACCGGAGCCGTCCGCGGATGGCCTCGGCGCTGATGTCATTCCCCAACAGGTTCACGTTGGTGATCGATCGGTTCTGTCGCAGCGCCTCTATGAGGGCCTCAAAGGTGCGAGAGCTGAGAGCATCGAACCCTTAAGCGGTTGCAAGCAGGTCTCGTCTTTGTTCAATCTGTGCAGGGTGTGGGTCAGTCTTCAGCCTCTGCCAGCCTGGGTTTCATGTTTCACCTCTTCTTTGGAGTCCATCAGTGTCACAGAAAGGCGACACGCTGGCGACACGCCTTGGCACCCTCATCGGTGATGCCGTTGTAGCCAAGATCAATCTTGGTCACGGATCGGTACTGGCGCAAAGCTGCAGCCAAGACCTGCATCAGCAGAACAGTTGGACGACAAGCGAATCGCGCATGATTCGCTGCATGAAACACGATTCGTGCCCTTTCTTTGCTACCTGCTACCTTTGACTTCAGGTAAAACGGCACCCGGAGCCTCGATCATGGAATTTTTCTACACACACACGCCCCGAACCACCCGAGAAAGAGAACCCCGCGACCTGTCGGTGTCACGAGAGGTCAGCTTGATGTCAGTGCGCCTTGGCACCTTCATCCTTGATCTCACCGCCCCAAAGATGGATCTGGGTGGCCACCTGGTGCTTTCCCAGAGCCTCCGCGAAGGCCTGCAAGAGGGCGTGCACATGGTCATCAACTAAGTAACGTTACACAATTAAACGTCTTATGATACTTCTTATGATATATCTGTTTTTCTTCTCTTGTGGGCTGCAGGAAGGGGCATGGGATAGTCCAAACCCGGTCGTGAAACTGCTGTTCTCTTTGCGCAAATGCATGTTCCTTGGGGGGGCCCAAATGGCAAAAGCAGCCTGCAGCCACAAGTTGTAACTCCTCAGTGGACACTCCACTTTTTGGGGGGGCATCCTTTGACCTCCAACGCCGTTGGCCTATAGCATCTGCATGCATCTGCCATCTCGTTAGTGCCCTTGTTTTTGGAAGTCATAGCAGGGTGCCATCTACGCGGTGCTTGGATGTGGTGGACTCTTCTTAGGTCACAATGGGTCATGTTCACATCGCATCCTCTCACCAGCTCCCCACGCCCCAATCCGAGCTCCCACGCCTTGAACTCCGGATTCGCCGAGGCGCCGGGATTCGTGAGGTCCTTGGCCCGTGGGGGTCGGCGGAACGGACTGAGCCGACACGTCCTGCCGTGGGCAGGAAGGCCACATCTGGCGACCACGGGTGTGGGGCGCAAAAGGACGGTGGGCGGTCGGAGGTGCCAAATGGTGGGACTTGTGTATCTTGTGTTATTGCTTCTACTAGTAACAAGTGCCACGCTAGTAGTAACAAGTGCCTTACTAGTAGTAACAAAAAGCTTTTAGAATTAAAATAGAATTAAAAATAGCTTCTTGTTACTACTAGTAAGGCACTTGTTACGAGTAGCGATGCACTTGTTCCTAGTAGCTTAAATAGCTACTACTGACAGTCAGTGTAGTGTGAGTCAAGATGTGCCAACATACACACAATTCACAAGGGCAAGCCTTGTGCCAATGTGTCTGCGATGTATTATTTTCATCCAATTGATGTGATGTCTTGCTCAAGGCACAGTCTTTCTAGGACGCTCATATGAAAAACACCTCCCGCTGCAAAGTCGACAACACCAGTCATGAATAGCCAGGAGCTTTGGTTCAAGAGATTCCAAACATCACAAACATTACACCACACCAAGCAATACGCCCCAAAAAGAATGCCTTTAACTTTGAAACTATAAGACTGGTTGCCACAGACTTCTTGGTCTTCTCCTCATCGCTCTTGGTCGCCTCATCGCTCGGCCCGCTCGCTGCGCTCGCGAAGCGCGCCTCTCGCCCGGTTCGCCCGGTTCGCTCGCCCGTCGCACCCGGGAAGAAGCGAGGCTCTCGGCAGGTTGGCAGCTCGTTATTGAACGCAACAAGGGTCCGCACCCCTAAGGCGATTGAAGCGTTTTTTTCCATCTTTAATTGAGCTTCTGCCGGGTCAGGTGCCGCCCAAATCGGCGAGATTCGGCTAGAATGTCAGGAGCGGCTTTCGGCCAGTCAAGGCCTTTCAAGCACTGTCACCAGCGCCAATTGACAAAACATTCCCATTGTGGCGTCGGCCTTCCCAAACGGTTCAGGCCCGCCTGCAAGAATGAGCTAGGCAGCGGCAATGCACCTGCCGACGAAAGACATGAGACTGGCCGCGACTCGCCGACTACGGGGAGTTCTTTGGCTCGGGAGGCCCTAGAGCCATACTCTTTCTTGTTGCAAGATGGTTCGTGCAAGTCTGCCAGCAAACCCTACTCGCCTAATATCTTTGGTTCTTCTGGCTTGTGAGCGCACACTGGTGGGACTTGGCAATCAAGCTTGGGTAATGAATGGCCAGGTTTGCCATGATAAGGCACTAGATCCCCCCAAACCAAGAAACCGGAGTCATGCACACGTCATGCACATGTCATGCCGCATAGGGCAGCCTCATGGAGTTCCTGGAGCCGGAACATCTCCCCAAGGCCCCCAAACTGGACAACGCGGCTCCATGTCCGACCGACTCAGTTTCGGCCACCCAAACGCCCCAAAAAACACGCCCCAACTCGGAGAACATGGTTCGCGGCTTTCTACTCGGATTCGCCTTTGGCAAGCTGCTGCCCATCTGTGGCTTCATATGTGCAATATGCAACTGGCCGTGCTCTGACCTCGGGGGCCCCGGATCCCACGTGAGCGATGGGGAAAAGAACACCGGCTCTTGAAGGATCCATCTCAGACCAGTGTTTCTTCGTCTTGTTGCTTCTATGTTAATATGTTTCATATATATATATATATATGTTTTTAAATATGTTTTTTGGGTCTATCCTACTACCTGTAACAGTGGATGATGATGGTTAGCTTGCAGGCCTTGTTTAAAAAGGATTACTGTATTTGTTTGTTTACTGACTGTTACAGGTAATAGGGCAAACCCTATATATTATATACTATACAGGTCCAAGAAGACCTTCCCCTTCCAAAATGGGTTGTCTTGTGCCCACGGCCCATCCAGCCCATCCCACTACCCAGGTGGCCACGGCCATTCTGAGCTACCCCACCACCTCCTGCGATGCACCTGGAGGTAGTACAGCCGTTGACCGTTGACTGCTGGGCAACCGCTTTGAAGTAAAACAATGTAAACACCTCTAAATGGTTGGCATCCTCCCATCCTTTGGCCTCCTTCAAGTTCGCAATGCTTAATTTAGGCTTTGCAGCTTTGCAATCATCCGCTCTCCAACAATGGGAGAGGAAGAAAGGTTTCGTGGGAGGTTTCAATGCACAGAGGCCACATGGGGCCTGCAAAGAAAACCATTGAACATGACCAGCAACATTCTCTTTTGGCCCAGTTGCTGGAGTCTTTGGTGCAGCACGGTAGGTTGTCACATCCCGCTGACTGACCCATGGCAAGGGTGAAACATCTATCTTTGTCGCTGAACAGGTTTGCGATCATGTAGCAGCCTTGACAAGATTCTCAGGTCAGACCGGAAAACACGTGGCAACTGTCTATTCCGCATGTGTGCTGAAGACTTGTGCTGAACAATCTGACGTGGAATCCAAAATGATTCGCATCAGTCGCGACTCGCAAAACCGAAGGACACATCGAATGGGTCGCATGTGCAACAACTGACCGAAGGGGCGAGATCAATTTGCCCACCTGACTTGCAGCAGCCTTCCTCAAGGCCATGGTTGCATCGACTCATAATGTTGTATCTACCTAAAAACTATTCTGACCTACTCACTATTCTCTGTTGAATGTCCCACTTCACATATTTCGTGTGCACAACCTGCCGTCGCCTGCCGTCGCCACATCTTTCGTCGCGTCACCTCTTTCGTCGAGCTCCCTCGCCGCGTCGCGGAGCTCGCCACGTCGCGCGGCCCCCGTCGCGCGGCCCGCGGCGCGGAGCTCGCCGTGACACGTGACACGCGGAACTCAGTGAGACCACTATAGGTCCGCTCCGCCGGCTGCTCCTCTCGATCGAGTTCCTCGAGGAGTTCCTCGCGCGTGAAGACGAAAGCAACCAGCTTGCGCGTTGAAATGAAGACAGTAGATACTAGTAGCTTCTTAGTTATCAGTACAAGGAACCTAGTAGGAATGGCCTCCACCCGAATAGCGATCGCCCCAGATCCAAGAAGGGGCCCATGTGAGTTGTGTTTTATTTTTGGGGTGGTGTGGGGCTTATACACGGGGTCTGTACCTACGCGGGTGGGTGCCTACGCCTGGGCTCCCCTCTCAAGCAAATGCCTACGAGAGGGGTTCTCTTTGTTAGGTGCCTACGCGGGATGCCTACGCAGGGTACTGTCACCAACTTTAGTCACATCAGGTGACTCGAAAAGAGCTACATAATCCGCAAGTAGTGGCCCGATGCGACCGGGTCACATCAGGTTCCTGTTTACAAGGCGTTTACAGCTTTGCTACCGATGGCCAGATAGATTTTGTATCAAGCCGATCCAATTACAGTGTGGAAGCAGCAGCACATAAACAGCGCACAACAAGCAGCAAACAAACAGCAGAAAACAAGAGGCAGCAGCAGCAGCCAAGCAGTAGCAGCAGCCAATAGCTTCTTGCCTACGCGCTGCTTCCGCGAGCGCCTACGCGGGGCCTACGCGAAAATAGGTCCATTGATCATGGTACCAACAGGGTGCGCACAGTTGTAGCTCAAGAGCCGGTGTGCCAGACCAAGCACGATCAAGCTTTTGACCTCAAAAACCAATGTGCCCCCATAGCTTCGACAAACAAACTTCAAACATCCACTGTAGCCATGTCGTTACAATTCATTTTCATTTTCCTTCCCCACTGGAATTTGCAAGCACGTGTCAAGTTAAACAACTACAAGCCAACATTATCTTTCCCCAAGACCCTTGAACAACTTTTAAAGAAGTCTGAATAAGAAAATTCAGGCTTTCATGAAAAGGGTGCCTACGCAAGATGGCCGACGCAAATCTTTCAACACCCACCTATGCAAAATGCTTACACGACGCCTACGCCCCAAGCAGAACAGCCTCCGCGACTTCTCAACAGTTCCCTTTTTGTATAAACCTAATCATTTGCAAAAAACGTGGCTCATGTGTCTCTTCCCTTTTCCCTCTTCAAATGCCATTTCAGAAAAACAATGAAAGGCCTATGATTCTCTTGAACCTTTATGATTGAAAAATTGAACGCCTAGAATAAGACTATTCTTTAGGGATGAGCAGATTACAAAAGCCATCAATAGACTGATACAAACACAAAGAAACATAATACCGAATCATAAATGAACCACCACGAACTAATAAGAGCGACGCAAAATAGATTTACAATTCTAGGAATTTACTCAGGGTTTCTTTGGTTTCACTCGCTATTGGTTGTTTGAAAGGCAAGCAGTCAACCGATCAAAACTGATCATTTGTGCCATTTTTTGCTGTGTTGATTTGTCATTTTCTGTGGGTTGCTGAAGTGGCGTCATTTTTGTCATTGCTGTGTAATTTTGCGTCATTTGTTCTGAGTGAAAATCACCCCCACGTCCGTTTCTTGTGAAAATGGGCCGGAAATGGTTGAAGTGTGACCTATCAGATCACTGAGTCAACAATGACATAAAAATGATTCAAAAAAACACAAGAATTCAACAAATGCAAGAAAAATGACTCAAACATGACTAAACCACAATTTGGCCAATCCAGCTTCCTCCCACCCTTGCCCGTGTGTAGACAACACCTCAAGAGATGACAGAAAATGACAAAAAATAATCAACTGGCAATGCTTTGCAACTTTCTCTGGAAGGTTGCGCAGGTACAGGAAAAACTGGTCGCCTTCAGCAATGCGAAGGTCAATCAAATGCCTTGCAATGAGGGAAGCTTCCAACATATTGCGGTAAGCGGCACTCTCAGTCTCCACTTCCCGCAGGTTGTCAACAATTGTCTCCACTGCGGGCTTCTTCGCCGAAGAACGTAAGGCTAGTTCACGGTAATGCAAAAACTGACTCAAAACGCCGTATACAAATGATTCAAGACTGACACACCAAACGATTGCCCGAAGAAAAGACAAGGCCACATGACCAAAAATGACAAGAATATGAAATCCACAATCACTTGACAATCCTCAGTACCTTCTAGAAAGAAACTCATAACACCCGCCAACCCGCCTCACATCAACTGAACGCACTGACCAAATCACGCGCGCACGCACCGTGCGCATGCGCACGCGCACGCACACCCGCCCGTCCAGCGCACGCCTGCCCGCCCGCACACACTCACTCAGTCACCCACTCACTCAGTCAGTCGGTTAGTCAGCCAGCCTGTCAGTCACCCACACCAGCAACACAGTCACTCCCACACTCACACAACAATATATCTTCACCATCGCTCCTCACCCGTCTTCCTTCCACAATTTTACGGCCACTCACCCCGACCCTCTGTGATAATTAATTGCTGGGTGTGCGACCTCTCCACCACCTCTTGATTGTTTCTCAAGTAGACATGACTATAGCTTCATCCAAGGTAGACAGGGAAGATGCCAAGTATTTTCTTTATCCGACTTAAGATTCTCGATAAAATTGACCAAAAAAATTGTCGGAAAAAGGCAAATTGCGAAAATAGTTCGTGGGTCACCCCTCCAAGTAATTTTTCAGTGGGGGGGTCATAGTTCATCTCACACCAGCCCACTCAAGACTCAACTCACCCCAGCTCATCTCACACCAGCCCACTCAACTCACCTCAGCTCATCTCACAGTAGCCCACCCAACTCACCCCCACTCATCTCACAGCAGCCCACTCGACTCACCCCAGTTCAACTCACACCAGCCCACTCAACTCACCCCCGCTCATCTCACACCAGCCCACTCAACTCACACCGGTTCATCTCACAGCAACCCCCTTAACTCACCCCGCTCATCTCACACCAGCCCACTCAACTCACACCGGCTCATCTCACTCCGACTCATCCCACACCCGCTTCTCGCCCCACTTCTCGCACGCCAGCTCACCTCACGCCATTACATCTCAAACAGACTCATCTCACACCCGCACAACTCACACCAACACTAACCACTAAAACTGACCCCACACCAACTGAATGCACTGACCAAATCACGCCCGCACACGCACGTCCGGCACACGCCCACCAGCCCGCCTGCACTCAGTCACTCACTCACACACTCACTCACTGAGTCAGCCAGTCAGCCACCAGTCACGCGACTCCCGCACACAACCCCCCCTTAAAAAAAAATATATATATATCTATGTTGGGCGATGGCAGCCATACATGGCCAACCATCAAATAATTTTTTTGTGAAAAAAAGGGAAAAAAAGCAAAATAAAAGCAAATGAAAATGCAAAAACAAAGCAAAAACAAAGCAAAAAGCAAAAACAAAGCAAAACAAAAAGCGAAAAAAAAAAAAGCGAAAATAAAGCGAA